ACCACCGGGGTCTCGCGGTCGTCGGGTATTTCCCAAAAATTAATAACAACGCAGCGTTCTCGCTCACTCCTGCATGGTCTACCTGGACACTGGACGGCAGGGTAGGCGGGAATGTTGCTAATTGTTAGGAACCGCCCTGCCAAGGTGACGACGATGAGGATTGGTTTGACCAATCCTCCCTCCGGTAGGCAATGTTCGTCGTTGTCACCTTGGCAGGGGAAACCGAGGCTTCCTTATGGGAAAATTCAGGACTTTTCGTCAGATTACTCTTGGACAAGTAACTTGATCACTAGTTAGTCTCCGCACGAAGACATTCTGCGTATCAGAAGCACCAGCTTCTGAGGGTTCAACTAAGGGTTAGGAGCACAGAGTGGCTGTGCGATAAGCACGACCACGATCAACGATTGTTCTGTCAAGAAGAATTGTTCGTGGCCGAAACATTGATGATAGGAAATAATATGTATTTTGATTCAGTTTTTGGAGCTATATAGGAGCACAAGACCTATACACTTCTTTCCTTTTGCTAATGAAGTTGTTGTCTATCAATCGAGATCAAACACCCTTCAAACATAAATATCAGCAGCTAGAAAAAAAAACGTGTATGCCATTTAGGTGGTGTCCCTCGTTAGGCACAATTAGTAACATTTTTTCGATGTATTCCAATCACTGCAATCATTATTAAAATATGTCGAAATTTTAGAAGAATTCATTCGATGTGTAATATGAAATTTTCCTACACTTGTTGCACACTCTCAAATAAAATCTCTCGACTCGAAGACGAGTTTTTCCCTCGGTTTCCGTAAACACTTTCTACAGTTTTCACGTCGGGTATTCAATTAAATTCAACTTATCGGTAAATATCGATAATGTTATCGTTAGTAGCGCCTTTACTGCTTACGAAACGAGTATTTTACTGTAACAGTCGAGGGTTAATGGCGTCGTAAACTTCTCGCGTGAAAGAAGTGAAATGGTCCTCATCAAGTGTGAGAATCCTTTCGAAATGTTCACATTGCGTTTAAGTTGCCATAGAAATGATTACATAGAAGTGTATCTACCCCTATAAACCGTTAAATTGGTATTTTTAACTACTGCAAACTCGCGTGTAAAAATTCTATCGCAAACTATCGCAATCCTGTCGAGAATTTCAATAACTATTCGAAAAATCTAAGTGATATTGTAAGGATGCCAGGGATAGTCACAGGCGTGTGGTCAGATTCAAATATTTGGACACTTTTAACTTGAATATAAACTATATCATTTAATATTACTATAACTATTTAACATAAAAGAACATAAAAACGTGAGCGTAAAAACCATAAGTGACTACTTTCGACCAGAGTTCGACGCAGATTGTCTTTCTGCTGCTGAAGTCGAACCCTCTCGATTCCTATTTACATATTATAAACAAATGAGGTCATCGATAAGGAGAACCTCTTTTATTACGCACATTCGAGGAGCAGATTAGGGACCTATAAACTAGGGGGCTGACGAAGATTGGTAAAATCGAAAGACGTAGCACGAGCTGCATAACGAGTTAGACTTGTTCTTAGCGCTTGCATCGGTCGCGCGAGGGACGAATTTTGCACCCTTTGCGCTTCTGAGGAACTCGGTCGGACCATCCCCTTCCCCGTAGGCGTCAGGGTTGGTACACGACCCGCATACCGGGGTCTCAGCCCAGCGTCTTTGTGAGCCATCTATAGCCCGAGTTCATCCCGTTCCACCTTGGCGGATCGAGCCAAAGGGATCCCCGGGTCGCCTGCTCAAAAGTACGAACTGGAAACGGGCGGGATGGTTTCGTTGCAATCAAGCGCGGACGCGGACTTTGGGGGTGCTCCGTTTTCTCACGGTCCGCATTATCTTCTCAGACCTCCGCGTTGCCTCTCGAACTTTTCTCTGTCTGCAGAAACGAGCGGATGAGGTAACGAAGGAGGCGGGATATATACCGTACCCGTTCTTCCCTCCATCTTTCTTCCCTTTCGTTTCCTATTTTCCTTTCCTGTCGCTATCCTTCGTTATCCGCCCTTTCAGCGCGCCATGTATCTTTCTCAGGATCGTTATCGATTTCCCGGAAAATAGCGGTTGAGTTCAGTCGATGCACGGTGTCCAGATTATGCTCGGATTTTCCTTCGCCAGTGTGTGACTTTAGGACCGATTGGATCGTGGGAAATTAGATTCTGGAGACATTTGAATTACAATAGTATGATCGTTGGTTTTACATTTATTTTAGTCAGTCAATATTTTGTAAAAGATTTATCCAAATGCTGATTATTTTTCACCACTGTGAGCAAATTTCAGGACTTAGAATTGATATTTATTATCAACTTATTTTTTTTATTTTTGTAAAAGGTATTTTTTAATTTTATTATTAACGAGAATTTGAAATTAGTTTCTTCCCATTCTTTGTCGTAATTTTTTATTTCTCTCAAACGAACTGGTGTTACAATATACTGCATTTCGTTCAATATTCTGAGACGTTCGCGCTATCAATACATTCTGAAACGCGCGGAGTTTGTTTTTCATTAGCAATTTGGCAGAGTCTGTGCGGAATTTTCGAATCGCACGATCGTTTTGGTTTTCAGTGTCGGCGCTGAAAATTCGAGTTTGTCTAGCGTCTTGGTGACATCTTAAAGCCCTCATTAGTGTAGCTCGTCACCTTCGATAGGTAAACGGAGGATAGGGAGAATTAGCCGCGTCAATATTTGCGGTGCAATCAACCCGCTTCGACTTCCCGTCCCTGTCATTTCGCTTCTCAGTGGCCCTCGACACTGACTCTGATTGTAATCCACACTTCCGTGACCGAGTTGCTGTGCTGTTGCTGTTGTCTTTTCTCATTTTGCCGACTCGTTCACTCGATACGTACACAGAGTCGCCGTCGTCTGCGACGTCTCTATCTGGTTTGGTCGGAGTCTAATCAGAAATTTCAAGAACGACAGTTTCTTGTCGAAGACGTTAAAATGGCTGGCTACGTCTGCTAAATGTTTACGTGCCAGTATCTGGATCTGATTCCGTTTGCTTTGCGTCAATCGCGACCGTATACTCTCCAGGAATAACCGAAAGTTTCGTGAACTTTCAGCCAAATCGATGATACGATGCTCAACAATCAAATTTAGTCTGTTATGTTACTACTTCTACTATTTCTACCAAATCTAGGCGAAATTTTATTCATTTACTTTTTAAATTTCGACTGAAAATATACACTATATAATTTCCAATATCATATAATATAAGGGAGACAATTCTATTAAATACAAAAGAAATCTAAAAAAATTTACATTATTATGGTATTCCAACGCCTAGAATATTTCTGATATTTAACATAATTTTACACCAGAACAAAAGTTATAATAAATGCACTGAAAATCACGTTTCACCCTGCTATTACCCCCACAGTAGAAATAGTGTTGAAACACGGTATATCAGGACACGTCTTATCCTGTACGAAGGTACGCAACTGTAATAATTTATACCTCAAAATCTGTCGGGTATCCACACCCGATATTTTACCTGTATCAAAATGATTCAGCTGTCGTTCCAAAAAGCAGATTAAAATGGTATGGTTTTGTCGCAGACTGCAAGATCGAAGCAGCTGCTCTGCTCACACTTTAGAGAAGCGAATTAGTTTGTCGAATAGAATTGATACCTGGTAGCTGAGCGACCCATACCCGTTAGGTGGTCGTGTACGCGACCATTGCCCCAGGACCGTGTCCTTTACGCTCGTTAATTCGATCGCGACCCGTCGATTGCAGTTCATGGAAGCAGAAACGAAGCTGGCCGAAGTAACGGCGGGGCTGCAGCGTACACCAGGTCTCGTAGGTCGATAAGGCCGGCGAGAATAATGGCCAGGATCGCGCGATCAGGTAAATAAGACAGGGTCCCGTGGCTGTCGTGCAACCTTTGCCCGGGACTATTCCCATTCGCCTCTACGGTATTTCCTGCCCATCTTGTCCATCCTCTTTCTTCCCTCCGAATCCCTACTTTCGTCTTTCATTCCGTTCTCTCTCTCTCTCTTAATCTCTGTATCTGTCTCTATCATTTTCGCGTTCAAACTATCCGCCTCTCCCGTTCCCTCCCGCACGTTTCTCCTTTTCTCGCCGCGATTCACCGTCTACGTTCATCCCTGTCCCTCTCTTTCTCTTCCACCCTCACCTAGTGGCGTGACACATGGCCAGCATTTATAGCGCGAGATAGCGCCGGCGGTTCTCGACAGCGCCGGCAGATTTATCCTCCACGGTTATTGGAGTTATACAAAGGATTTTTCCAACTGATCCCATAAAGTATCTGTGCCTGATGCCCTATTATTTACGCAGCCGGCTGATGCCACAGGCCACTCTGGCAGTGGCCGGAATTTTTCTTGTACTTCAAAAGCGTACGACGAGCTCGTGTCCAGCGGTCGATGGCACGGTTCGATGTAATGTTTATTTTAGCGGCAGGACAAGATTTAATCGGTCGATGAATTGCTTTATTGCCGTGTCGCGGACACGGTACCATTCAACTCTTTCGGGACGACGCGGAAACGCGACTGCTCCCGGCGACCCTTTTCACCGAACGGGGATTGAATTGTTCTGTACGTTCGAAAGACGTGTGTGTGTGTGTGTGTGTGTGTGGTTTTTTGTATTTAATACGATAAACGCCACGTCGATGCTCGAGGACCACACTTTCGGGCGGCCAAAATTATTTTAACCCCTCTACGACGGCTAGTGTGTAAGGCGGTACTGATGGCATCTAGAATCAAAACGACTGATTCGTACAGTAGCAATCAAACAGTATTATTTTAAATTTATCTTATTTTAGAAATTTATCAATACTCAACGAAGACTATTTTACTTTGTTTACTTAAATTGATAAAAATTTTAGTCGTTTCGAGACGAAAAATTGGAACAATCTTCGATCGTTAGCGTGTGAAATGCAAGTGTCTGTTTTCTGGAATAGTTTCCCAAAGAAAAAGTGAACGGTATATGTACAATAAATGTAGTAAGAAAAACTGGTTTCCTCGTTTCCAGGACTCAGAAGGTGACACTCCCCTTCACGATGCAATCTCTAAGAAACGGGATGACATGTTGGCTCTGTTGTTGGACCATGCCGCAGACATCACCCTCACGAACAACAATGGCTTCAACGCTCTGCACCACGCCGCTCTTCGTGGAAACCCGAGGTGAGTATGTACCTTGCGTTTTCGATGTGACGCTTTTGTCCGTGATAGCGTGCGCCGCTCTGAATGCCTCTGTCGGTGGTAGAATTTAACCGTCCGAGGTGAACGTTACCAAGGAAAGGACGATAAAGGGCTTTGCCTTAAGCCAGCTGACAATTAAGAATAGCCCGCGTAGCGTATAGCTAATGGATCAAGGTGTTCGTTCTTTCGTCGACGTCTTGACAACCGACGCTGTATTATTGTTGTCACGGAGGATCCCGGTGTCATTAAAAACCGATGAACGGCGTTAAACGCGAAACAGTCGCCGCGTTGTTGCACCTGGTTGCAATAACTGATCGCTCGGTTATTGCAATTCGCAAGAAATACAGTCAAATGTAGGTTTAACAACGCATCTAACGTTGATCAACCTTTGCCATATGTTAGTGCATTGCAATGGCAGCGGTACATTGTAATAAAGGATCGCTCACCATCCATTTGCAACTTTGTACCACAACAGTTTGCTTTAGGAGCAAACAAACAGGTGGAGTTGGTTCTCTGCGGAAGGAAGAGTAGGAAGCCATGCAGAGTTAGGTGTTCCTTAGAAAGTTACATAGATTGCCAAACCTTGTCTAATCATTTGTGTCTGGGGATTAGAAATTCCTAAGAAAGCTTGCGGTATTAATATCTTAACGAAGTGGATACAATCATTTTTTTAGTATAAACAAACTATGCATAGTCTGATGATAAAGACAGAACACGGGTCGGAATTGACCCAGTTGCCGTAGGAGGGCTGTTAATTTCGAGCGAAACGGATATGTTGATAATTATTGGAGCAGCTGTAAGTCACGAAGACTAAAGGAAACGCTGAGAAGAATTCTAAAGCGACGTATCCAATCGTTCACCGTCTTCCATTGACGTCTTTGTTCCCTTGTTCGGCAAATCATGAAAGAACGTCGAACCACAGGTGTTCTCGAACCAGTCGTTCTTCGACAAAGTCTAATGGAGTCGGTCATTCTCGAGAAGTACTGAGTTAATTTTACCTCGATTTTCACCCCACCGCCTTCCTATTCAATTTCGTCCCTTAGAATCTCGAGAATCTTCGAGATCTGCTCGCTTCTGGTTATTACTTCGAGACTGGAATGTAGGTACTATTGCCGACAGAATGATGTCTAGGAGGAATCACGTTTATAAATACTCTTCGAGTCTAAAGTTATATTTCCTTCTTATTCATATTTCATTTTCATTTGCAGTACTTGTGTAATATGCCTGACGATTAAGACTCCGATAATTTTATAAACGAATTATAAAAATTCGTTGCAGTATTGGGGAGCTAGATTTGTATTGTAACAAATATAAAAATATTTGTTGCGATCGTCTACTGTTTATAGTATTGCGCTTGAATGGAAGCTTTCATGCGTTCTGTCGACAGGACGGAATTTTTTGAACTTACGCCACTGCGAATTCTGTTGTTCATCGAGCAGTATTTGCTCCCATTTGGAGCTACCAGCTCGTGAAAAGCGAAAACGATGAACGAGCGTGGACAGGTTGAGTTTGACGGTTCATGGCCACCTAACGGGTCGTGAATTCCAACGTATTGTGCGAATTGAATGCGTCGTGTCGATTCAATTTAACTTCTTACAACATAGTTTGTTTCTATTTTTTGAGCACTGCTATTTTTGCCAGCATGTTGAAAATCATACTTCGAAATATTTGAAAGTAACTAATTAATAAAATGGAGTGTGCTGAAATTTTTAATTTCTGTTCTAGTTCGCAGGAAAAATCACTTGAATAAACTAACGCTAATAAAAATGAAATTTCGTCACTATCTTCATATTAGAAGCTTTAATCAGTATATTCCACATGAATATAAATCAGGACAAAATAATTGATAAAAGTATTATAATTTGGTAGTTTTAATATCGATAAGTCCATTAATTTTGTTATTTTATTCCCTGTCAAAAAAATTCGACGAAACGTCACAGTCAGATTTAAAAATATAATCACCCTTATAAAAATCATTTGCTGAAGCTTATCGGTCGCACCAGCTGGGCGGACGATTTTATTCGAACAGAAAATCGAACAGATTCGTAAAAATTCCCTCGAGGATCCTATATTAATAATTTTTCTTCGCCTTCGCGCGTTCGAACCTGATCACTTACGAGTACGCAGAAAGAAGCGTCACACACCCGTGACGTTGAATCCGGCTGGATCGGTGGTTATGTAGAGTCCCGGTTTCGAGGGGGTGGCTTTCACCGTGGAAAGTCGAGGGAAAGGGCGCCGGCGGGACCGGGTTTTCGCATCCGTGTCTATGGCCTCCGGATATTACCTACCTTCGTTGCTTTTAAACCGAAGGGTGCTGATTACCGCGAGAAGATGTATGTGCCGCATCACCGACCGGAGGATGTATTTCAAAGGGAACCTATTACCCTGGTTTTCTGTCCCACGCCCAACCCCGCCCCTTCCTCCTCTCGACGGCAGCTTCCATAGAGCAGCAGGTATATCTGCGCGAAAATCGACCGCGACATTACGCAGGGACGCGTCACCTGACGCGAAACGAACCTGGAATTAGATTAAGGATGATTTAGGATACCCATGGTGGATCATCATAATGCTCCATGGTCGAGAGTACGAATTCAGGCGAGGTAGAATTATGAACGATCAAGATTTCAGCGAAAACAGCTCTGGCGGATAGGACGCGGTAGAGGAGGGACTCTGCACGGCAAATGGATCGAGTATGTCTTGAAACTAATTCACAGCAGAGTAGTTTGGGGGAAGTAAGTACTCAAAGCTAATGAAGTTTTCTTTGACTCCGGCTATGTGAGTTGAGAAGCGAGCAAACATTCCGTTTGCGTCCCAGCCGTAGTGGCCGAAGTTGGATATCGTTCAGCCTGTTTCGCGACTTCACCGGGAATCCACGTAGGTTTTAGCGCGCGAATTTTTGCAATCCCGTGTAATTTATAAAACATTTCTTTCGTTTGGTTCGTTTTAGGTAACGGTAAAATAAAATTGTCTAAAATTTACGGTGTTGTGGCGATACCTGATCCTATAATAACACTCCTCGACCATTAAATATCCTGGCGTCTAAGGCAGGGCCTGTTAGGGTTGCCTTACTGATGAGTCCCACTATCAGGCCCAGGATGAAACGCTCCCTCCTTTCGTTTTCTATTATCTCCTGCTATCTCGTTCTCTTACATCAACAACTCGCCAAGTTGATGGCTATAGATCAATGTTCATCCTCGCCAAACACGGAATGAGTCGAATGCACTCCGGTGGCCATAGACGTGGTAAATCCATTACACACAGCGATGAAATTATATCCATCCAAAAGCTCAGTGAGATATGTGATTTCTCCTCAACATTCGTTCTTGGACAGATAGGTTTTGTGGGACATTGAGTTTCGGGAATGTTATTTCCATGCATAGATCAAGCATCATGTAGGTACCAAGTACCTTGATAGAAAGTGTGAGAGGAACATAGTTCTCCCCAACAGGGGCATACGTTCAATTTTTACCTTTCTCACAAGTACTCAATCGACCATCTATTTCTATGTATACATCTGTCGTATTAGATTAAATGTCCTGGCGTCTAAGGCAGGGTCTGCTAGGATTGCCTTACTGATGAGTCCACTAGCAGGCCCAGGACGAAACGCTTTTTCCTCTTCTTTCCTTGTCCCATCTCGCTTACGATCTTCCTCAATACAGAAAACCGCCACAAAATTGTCCGAATAATTTACTTACAGGTTGTAGTATTTTAATAAACAGACCAGTAACAGATGCGTATTGAAAGTACTAAAACTTTAGACGTGTGTAGTTCCGAAGCTACTCGTGCTTTATCATTAATTGAGCCATTGTTGGAAACGATAAAGCTTCCTCTTTGAAATGGTTTTCAGTTTATGCCGATCCGACTTTTGGAAATATTGTAATTTAAATAAAGGGGCAATTTTTCAAATTCAACTATCTCTGTCTTCGTCTAACGCGTCGAATCTCTCTCTCTTTCTCTTGTACGTGAATCGTGACAACCGTGACCGACCCTTATATTTCCGGAACTAGCCACGCAATCGACTTGAAACAAAAATCGTCATATCTCCGGAATTAATTACGCTATTGACTTTAATGAGCACGTGTTTTAAAGGGCACTTCATCCTCTGTCAGAACAACTATTATAATTTAGGCTGTCTTCCATGATTATTTTATTATTTACTATGACGCTATACTTTAAATTTTTGAGGGGTTTAGATTAATCTACCAAAAAAATGTTTGCAACAAAAGTTGACGAGTACTTTAAGTAATGGATACGAATGGCTGTGTTATTGTTCTAGTATGTCACTAATTCAGTTATAATGGCTACTTATTCGTTCTTCTAACTGTTACGCGAAGAAAACAAATGCATTCGGATGCTCATAGTTCAATAGTAATAAAGTGTAATAATAAACGCCCTTTCTCTCCTGCCTTCCACCAACGACTCGTCAAAGTGTAATCCGAGTCCAAAAACATAATTAGCGACACGAAAAATCCCCAGAATTATAGTTTTCAGTATAGTATTTTACCTAGTAAACTCTGATAGACCCCAAACGAAGTAATAAACCGAACAAACAAATTTTGTCCGAAAGAAGGATGATGTTTTAAATGAAAAACTGTTGTGGTACTCGATAGGGTGACGTTTCAGGTTAGTTACAATTGTCGTTGATGCTAAATAAAGGCGAGTTTCAGCGATATCGTAGCTGCAGCCGGGCCAGGTGTCTTCGGCGCTCTCGCATCCGTCTTCCTTCGGAGTCCTCCCTCTTCTTGTTCCCGGTCATGGACGTGTTCCCTTCCAAGTCTCTTCTACGCGATTCTCTTTCTCTATATCCGCGCTTCCTTCTCCCGACGTGTCTCTTTTCCTTCGTCTGTGAAGGAGCTGGCAGCTTCTCTCAAGTCCTGTGTTGCACGGAGCTCTGAAGCCGAACGAACGTCCGGAGACGTAATTTCCTGCCCTCCCGGTGCAGCTCCCTTCCGTTTGCTCCTCTTCCTCCGCCCCTCGGCGCC